CATCAACTTCACCAGTGAGTCAAGCATTGCTAGGCAACACAGGATCATCCCATCCTTTATCACACTGCTTGCATCAACTTCACCAGTGAGTCAAGCATTGCTAGGCAACACAGGATCATCCCATCCTTTATCACACTGCTTGCATCAACTTCACCAGTGAGTCAAGCATTGCTAGGCAACACAGGATCATCCCATCCTTTATCACACTGCTTGCATCAACTTCACCAGTGAGTCAAGCATTGCTAGGCAACAGGATCTTCCCATGCAGCAATGTCAACAAACTGCTAATTTTGAACAGCAGATTTAGACATCTTGTGCCTGTCACTGGTTTTAGGAATGGAAGCCCCCTGTGTCTGGTCTACACACTGGTGTTATTTTATTCTTGGATGTTTCATTGCAAACAGAAGTATAACATCACACTATCCCCTGGTTAGAACTTACTGTCGTAAACACACAGACAATACTGGCCACCATGAGACTATCTCCTGGTTAGAACTTACTGTCACAACGCATACATTACAACATGCAGTACAGAATTTGAACTCATGGTCACTTCAAGTGCATTGCCACTGTTGGCATGACACATTATTATATGTTGTTGGGCCACTGAAAATATAGATGACATGATGATCATGGCTAAGTAATTATAATGGTACAGCGAAAAACTCAAATAATGTTAGTTTGCAATCTGGTTCACTTGATCTGGTTTGTAAGGGTTTTTGCAAGTTTGATATGGACAAGCTTGAACCAATAGACGTGGAACATACAAGATTCAAACTGACAACCAAGATTTATCACAATGACTACAATTAATTAAAGCAAACACAGTGTAACTTGGTGTTTGGATTGAGATGCAATACTGGGTTTAGATCAAGAACAAGATTTATTCATTCTTTTTCAACAACCAGAATATGAGTTGTATAATAGTGAACATGGTAACCATAATTCTAGAAACCCAAAATATATAGATGTAGATTAGAAATCATAAGGTAGAAGATTGATAACAAATCAAAATTCAGGCATATTTATTTATTTACACATGTAGAATAGAGATGAAGTTATCGCAAAACGTAAAAAGGCTATTTATCAATGTTTGATGGAAGAGACCAAGGTGGCAGCTACATATCTCCCCGTTAAAGGTACAAAGGTGTTTGCTATCAGCAACAATCCCGTGGAGGAAGTACAGCAAATCAATGAGATTGAAGAGCTTAAAGATATGCTACTGAAACTCGCGCAAAGCAAGACATATAAAGTACCAGATAAATGGGTGACGTTGGAGCTTACCATAAAGCGTGATACACTAAAGAAGGATCATCTGAAAATGAATCTGAACGAGGTCTATCGTGTTGGTG